AGACAGAAATCAATAGCTTCACCACAGATACATTCACTAATTTTACCTCTCTATAATTAATGCAAAAAAGACCATGATCCATCAGTGTGATTTATTTCTGATATTGTGGTCAATTTCCAGTCTGGAAATAAACCAATCAGAATCTGGCCCACATAATAAAATAACGCCCAATACTTTATTGGTCATGAGTACAGACTTATAGACATAACCTTGAGGATATTTTGAATCACACACTATTGCGTAAAAATAAAATATGCGGCTCACGTCCCTGTGTGTTCTCGCTTAAGTTAGCTGCCGTATATTCGTGATCAGCGCTAGTGTGTTCAACTCAGCGTCCCTATTTCCATCTCAACGTATTGAGAATCATAACAATTTCCTACTACACTGTTGACAATAAATATTATTACAGTAAATCATCTTGAATTAGATCGCTATATTATTGGATCCAAATCTCATCCACCGGATAAATTATATTATTCTAGTCCCAAACCGACAACCCTACCATCTAAAATCAACTAAACACTTCTATCACTGACACCATTACGTTGATATAATAAAAAAGGTTAGTCGGCTTCTAATAATGTAATCTGGAGTAGAGTTAGAAGAAATAGAGGTGAATAAAAGATTTAAATAAAGTAACTCCAAACAAGGTGAAATTCGTTGGTTTGATAGTCAGGAACATTTAAAAAAATTACATGAGCAAGCAAGAATGACAATTTTTCCTACATCTATTCCCCCTTATTTTTTATTTTTCATTAAAGACTGATTCCACACCGTATTTTCGGTACAAGTATGGAATTCTCAGCATGCGATTGCGGTAGCCCAAATTTCGCAGGCCGACCATTGATATCAGGTGTGCGTCGGCAGGGGATCAAACCTCGAACCATGTACATGGTCGGTGAGAGTCCTAATCACTGTGCCACTGAACAACAGTGGTTTATGCAAAATAATATGATGCTATCATTGTTTCTATTTCGTTAGCTTCTCATCAGCTACTTACAGCCTAAAGACATTATTAAGTTTATGTATAGCAACAGTTTTAACGTAGTTATCCCCAGAAAGTTCAAATTTAAACAAAAATCATTATATGCATATTATATTAATAATAATGATCCCTTTATTCTAGACAAGAACAATCATACAGAATGGAATTTTTAGCTTTGCGTTATCGAATGAAAGATACCCTTCTCGTGTTAACTCTAACTGTGTATACAAATTGATTTGCATCTGTGGGATCAGTTACATTGGCAGGAAAGTAGAGAGAAGGCCACATTTCGAATTTTCTGAACAAGTACCAAAAAGCCTACATCTCAAGGGATCAAATGGTTACAATAGTTCCATTGCCAAGTATCTCCTTGATATGCGTCATGAGGTGAACATCGCAAAATCATTCATAATTATCAATAGGCAAAAGAGTTCAATTCCCATCATGGTTGCCGACGTAATCTCCATCAAGCGCTTGAAACACGATTTATGTGTTCAGAAATAAGCAGTTATCAGTCTTCCATTGCGCAGATAACTGGATGTTTTCATTCTCTCTTTCATTCGATTATGTAACGCTGAAAATTCCATTCTGTGTGATTGTTATTTTCCCCGATAAAGCGATAATTATTATCAACATGGTAGGCATACATTGATTTTTTGTTTAAACTTGAACTCTGTGAACAGACCTGAGTAACAGAATTCCGTCTGATTATACAGTGCACAAGTTCTATTCTTATATCAGGAATTCAGTTTGAACAAAAGAAAGGACTAGACACATCACACTAGTTACTAGTGTCCAGTCAAAGAACCCTTTACGGTCCTACAGGATGTCAGTCGTGAGCCCGAACAGCTCAGTAGGAACATCTCTGACTGCAGCACTGCGTTCAAATCTCAGGAGGGACATTAGTTCCTTCAAGGTTGCAGATGCGCCTTGCTGACGAGTGTTAACTAGCATGAAGCCTAGGTATAAGGCTTCCTGTGGCCGATTGCCTCCAACCATCTAATATCATCAAATCAATAAACGTGTTGAAATTGTTTCTGTACATAAACTTAATAATATATTTAGGCTGTAAGCAACTAATGAGAAGCCAACGAAGTAAATATTGGTGGTATCATTTTACTCTTCACAAACCAATGTTGTCCCTGCTTTGATATAAGAATAAAAATTGTGCACTGTGGTAGAGTGTAATTCCATTATGGGTAAATTCAGTTCTGATAAAGTCTCACGGTGTTATACAGTAATGTTTACTGATGATGTTTCGAGCACAATTTATTGCTCATAATCATATCACGGTAATCACACGACTTCCTAAATTCATTTATATAGTTCCGTTGTTTTCCACTTGATTTTCACTTGATTTGATTGGTAGTAGTATTTTCCATATAAATCATTCCTATTGCATGTGTTGGGTGTAGATTCGATGAACAAGGATTCAGTAATCAACCTCTCTCTCCACCTACCTAGATTACCTTTTGGAATTTTAACCCTCTCCCACCCTATTGTGTGGTTGTGTGCTAATGCATGCATTGCAATTACTGGGCTTTTTTCTAAATTACTTATCTTCTCGGGGTCAACCATCCTTACCTTAGCTAAATTCTTATGTTCCCACAATCTGACTACCTCTGACCTACTAGTTTGACTTATGTAGTTGACCTCACAGTGATTGCAGGGTATTTTGTAAATTATATTATTTTGTCTAATTGGGTCAACCGACAGGGTCCTTTAACCTACAGAGCTTGTCCTACCTGAGTGAGTTTGTAGGTTTAAATGCCACCCTAATTCCTGCTTTATTAAGAATCCTACGTAGGGTCTCACATGTCGCCTCTTTATATGGTATAACTGTAGATGACTTATATTCTCTCTTATTTATGGTATTATTACTGTGAGACTTTATCAAAACTAAATTTACCCATAATGGAATTGTCCCTGCTTTATTCAAATGAAGATTCTGATTTCAGACGACATGAGTTCTCTAATCCATACCCTCAAATTATCTGGTTTCCTAAAATGCACAAAGCTAACCTATTTGTTGGTCCACTGGCATAATATTTAGAGGTTATTTCGGCAAACAGTAAAGACTAGTGACCAAAGAGTGTGAGCGCTCGAGTGACCTTCTGGTCACCAATAAGAAAACGCCATTTACTTACAAGAAAAGCAAACATAATAATAATGCAACAAATTGAAGACGATATTCTCCCCTAAAGTAACTCAAAAATGCTTCCCAATTAAACAACTGTACAGTATCAGTTCTCAAGTTCCTTAATTATCAAAAAACAGTTTCATCTATATGAACAACAACCGCTTCTTATTCCATTTTACTATTTGCAAGAAGATTAGAGATGATAATTAAATATTCTAACCACCATCTTAACCCTAATCGTAATCCGAAGCATAGCTATAACCCTAACACCCACCCTAATCCGAATACTAGCCCTAACCCTTATACTAATCCTAGAGCTAATGTCCTATCAATCCATGATCCGAAGAGTATTTAAAAATCACATCGCGGTTGAAATTTCCACCTCATTTCGTGCACAGAGTTCATACTGGCGCTATAATAACAGCAGTTTCAGTAATCCAAACAATGATGTGCGTTCAAGGTCACTGATGAGTTTATACCCGAAGGCCGTTATTCTGTTAATCATACATTCAGTAGAATTGTTATGATTACTTGCTATTAGCAGGCTATTTCACTCAGGATCTTTAAAACAGCAGTATGCAGCCAATAAGATGAGAATCCTTCAGTATGAGAAAGCTTATAGATAAAAATTTCATAATATGCCATAATGACCCTGGTCTGAAAAACTCTTTACACTTTGATTTGACATTAGATAGCCACTAGTGTCATGCGTTTAGTCTTTGCTGTGTGTTTGGTACAGACTGAATTCAATCAGTCAAGTTTGCTATACGACCATTATGCTAGGTGGTTTGCCATCACATTGTACTCTGAATTATTGTTATTAGATTGCTGGAATTAATCAGCAGGGAGCCTTGGACATAGATTTCATGCTTGATAGTAATAGTTAACAAGGCATATCTGTAATGTTGAAGGAAGGAGTTCATAACCTTTCTGAAATTCATCCCACATCTGATACAACAACTCAGTCTGCACCAACCGAAGGACAAGACGGATGACACTAGTTACTACCCAGTTTCCAATCAAAGTATCCAATAACATCAGTCTTATAGGACGTGAACTGCAATCGTCAAATAGCTCACTGGTAACGTCTTTCTCTCTCTGACTGAAGCACTAATGATGCCGGTTCGAATCTCAGGAGGGACATGAGTTCCTTCAGGGTTGCAGATACGCCATGTTGATGAGGACCAACGAGCATGAAACCTAGGTTCGGGGCTTCCTTCCAACAGCCTCCATCCCTCCAACAACCTTTTAGTCTCTCAAAAAATACCAAACTCACCTTCCATAAATATAAATTTCACCAGAGGAAATTATGAAACACTGAGCAGACGAATCTACAGAAAACTGACACCTTATGATCACATAAACATTCATATAACTGGTTTTTCATAAGCTAACGCTCATGATGACTCTTACTGTGCATCTGAAGTTTTGTTGACCAAAGGAAATAGATTATATATCAATAATATTTATTTGTACAGGAGAAGACAGTGTTTACGTACAAACATAGAAACAAAACGATAATGAATGCTTAGACAACACAATCATACAAACAATGAATACATCTCAGCAGAAACATTTTCTTCATAAACAGTAGTCTAGGCTAACACAACTTTCAGGCAAGAAGATAAACAAATTTCTGTACATTAAGTTTAAAATTAAAGTTGAATTAACCGCTACAACCCTGAAGGGTAGGATTCAACAAAACCAACTCAGAGCAAAGTATTCTCATATGAGTTGAAGGAGAAGCATAATTACAAAATGTTTTATTAGAAAAACAACAAGAAAACGTCTTGTTAAAATCGACAATGACATACTTCTAACCGGAAACGATAAATACATGGATCCTCCACAGATTGATCTCACTGCATTCCTCTCTTATCCAGGATATGGCCCAATTGAGACTAAAATATGCGTAAAGTATGCCTTATACTTAATTGATCGAATATGATAATTTAAACTTGTCAATCCATCATATGGCATACGGCATACAGCAGTTTTCAGTAATTTCACATGTTCTGATACCATAGACTGGGATTGTTGACTATGCGGTATAGCTTGATAACGTGCTATTGATTCATCTGCATGAATATATTGAATATTAGCAGTTTTCAATCTTATCTCCATATCATCATCTTCTTGACCCCATCCCCAATAACTATTTGAATAACCATTGACAGTTAAAAAGTGTTCCACGGATATCTTCAATACACCACCAATTAAAGTATCATAGAGAAGTGTGAAATTTCTTGTATCTAATGCAACACCCAAGTGAACTGGTGTTAAAGTTGTCTGCTCATCACATCCATATGGGATACGATCATTTAAAGGATTTAAATCGGTATCATGAAATACAATACAAGCAAAGTGAAATAATTTCATTGCTTCTATAAATCCAATATTCATTAGCATAGCTTTATTTATCAGCGTGGTCTCTTCTTGTTCAATGACAAATATACGATAGCATAAGTGTTGTTTTTGTAAAATTGATATCAGATTAGGCAATATTGTGTTGAGTTGTTCCCATCGATTATTACAGACGAAAACAATAGCTACACCAGATTTTGGAGAGGAATTACACAAATCCTCGGAATCAACAGACTTTCCGCTGTTGTTATCTTTAAACATCCAAGATCCACCGATTAAATGATGTGAAATAATAAGGCTAGTTTTCTTTGGCGCTCTTCTTCTTATTTTTCTTCGATTCTGAGGTATTATTTTTTTCAAATCTTTACAAATTGTTTGACATGTTTGTTTCTCTTTGATATTCATCAAATTTTTTCTTTTTTGTAATACTTCCAATGTGAAATTGAACTCGGTGGGAGGGATACATTTATTAGGTGTATGTGAATTGGATAGATTTGAAATGGTAGTAATAATGAAAGTCAATATAGAAATAATTCCTATGGATAAAATCACTTTGGTACATTTATGCCCAAAACGCATTCCAATAGAAGGGAAATGTTTGTTTCTTTCAAGTAATTTATGGACCATTACCATGTCATATCATCAGGTTATCTGTAGATAACCAATTAGAACTGAGGTCATAAGCGTAGTCATTGACAGTAGATGCTTGTATGTTGAGTAAGTGGTGTGTCGTAAGGTCATTAAGTGGCAAATGTCAACTTACATTAAATACGATTTGACTCACCACAGATGGTGTAACTGTTTGTGTGTTCAGGTCAGGGCAGGTATAATTTTCTCTTAATAATAGCAAAAATGATCATTTAGACGTTTGAAAGACGAGAAAATACTTGAGTAGAGAATACCCTTTTCGATGATTTCCTCTTCTGACTCTACAATTATGCATATATTTATATACAAAGAATACTTTAGAATAACAATCATTAACAATATTAGTGTTTTTTAAATACTATCGATTTGTTAAGTAAGATCACAATGGAATTACAGTTCACTAAAGATGCATAAATTATAATAAGTATAAAAATGTAATAACAAATAGAATATCAAATAAAATTAAGGAAATTTCCAAAACAAATTGAGGATCATTAAAAGCTTGATGACCAGAGGGGTAAGGATAGTGTCTGAACCAGGTTCTTTTGGATACATAAGTTAGGTTTCTTTATGTGGTTCCCCACAGCCTCAGCAATATGTAGTAGACGAACTCTTAAGGTAAAGTTAAGATTAGTTGGTATGCAGTAGATAACTTTGAAAGCCGCATTGATAACATCAATCCTGAGTTCTGCATCCACAAGATGATTGGTTACAGGATCTATTCATAGCGCTATTCTATCTCATCTTGTGGATATTCAAGTGTCGGTTTGTAGGGATTTCGACTGATTGGTTACAGGATTTCATCATGAGCTGACATTGGTTAGAGAACCATTGGAAAACCTAGGAGTACTGCGCAGCCATTTCGTCCTAGTTTGGGACTCTTCACCAGTACGCACCCACCGCCAGGGTTCGAACCCAGGACCTTCTGATTACAACGCGAGCTCGTATACCATTGAGCCACTGGGATCCAATCCAATGGCCAGCCCATGAATTCTAACTTCTGCCAGTTCACGATGGTTCTCTAACCAATGTCAGCTCATGATGAAATCCTGTAACCAATCAACCAAATCCCTACAAACCAATACTTGAATATCAATGAGATGCTCACTGGCGACTTGCCCTATTCAGGTAGGTAGTTACCTGGGGTTCCAGTGGGAATTCGTGACCTGTAGGGTGCAGCCGGTCGGGTGTGAGGACAAATACTCGCCGAAGACATTGGCTAGCGGTTGCGCTATGTCGTGAACTGGCAAAAGTTAGAATTCATGGGCCGTTGGATCGGGTTCCAGTGGCTTAATGGTATACGAGCTCGCGTTGTGACCAGAAGGTCCTGGGTTCGGACCCCGGTGGGTGGGTACTGATGAAGAGTCCCAAACTAGGACGAAATGGTTGCGCAGTACTCCTAGGTTTTCCAAAGGTTCTCTAACCAATATCAGCTCATGATGAAATCCTGTAACCAATCAGTCGAAATCCCTACAAATCAATACTTGAATATCCACAAGATGAGATAGAATAGCGCTGCGAATAGATTTTGTTTGTCCTTTGCTTAATCACACAGGATGATTTTGGGAAATCCGACAAGAGACACGCCTAATTGTACGGCCTACACAACTAACTGCCTCCACAGGAGCAGTCAAACTGGTAAATACACATAGAAGAGGCGGAATTAAGCAGATTATCTTCAACTCCCGAACGCAAAATACGGGGTGGTTTTGAAGACAAAGAATAATTCAGCGGCAGGGAATGCTGTTTTTGCCTCCATATTCCTTAGGCATTGTGTTGATATCTCACTGATGTTATCTCCGAGGAACTGAAGTTTTCTTTTCAAAATGTCTGAATGAATATTTTTGCTATAATATCGAGTTGTTAAGATCAATGGAATTACAATCCAGAAGCATGTTTAAGTGATAATAAGCATAAAAAGTGAAATACTAAGTTGAATATCAGATAAAATTAATCAGAAAATTAATACAACAAACTGAGGATTATTATTATTATTATCATTATTATTTTTCCCTTGGGTTCCGAGTGGAACATACTGCTTCAACAATACATCCCCACTTTGTCCCATCTTCTGCCATCCTCTTCAGCTGGGTCCAAGGTCGCCCACAACCTCTCATCTCTTCCTCACACTACCTCCTCCATATCACCCTCGGAGGACATAATCGTTGCTTCCCGTTGGGATTCCACTTCAGCGCCTGGCACGCGATGTCTTTCGATGGTTTCCTCAAAGTATACCCCATCCATCTACATTTTCTCCTATATATTTGTCGGTTGAGCAATAGTCTCTTGGTTGGTTTGTTCCCACAGTTTCTTGTTCCCAATTGTTTCTGGCCATTTGATCTACAGTATGGAGCCAGCCATCGAATGTGGCAGCTGTTGATAAAAGTCTGAAATAACCTGTGGGAAATCCTTTTCGTGACACGCTGGCCAAGTTTCTAACCCGTTATAGAAGAACCGACTTGACATTTGTGTTGAAAATGCAAACTTTGTACCTTATGCTGAGTGCAGAATATTTACAGATTGCTTTCAGGTTGATGAAGGCGTATCTTGCCTTTCCTATTCTGTCTGGCTGACTTTGACGTTCACATCCGTTTCACCTGTAGTTGAAACTATGCTTCCTAGATAAGTGAAGGAGGTAACCTCTGTTAAATCCCTCCAATTGATGGTGATTGGTCCTGGTTGTTGTTGTTGTTGTTGCTGTTGCCTGGTTATCTTCATCACCTATGTCTTCTCTATGCTCACTTGAAGTTCTATCTCCACAACCGGCTACCTCTGCCAACGTGTTGGTTTTCGCCTCTAAGTCTTTAATTTTGTGTGAAACTGAACAAAAATCATCCACACGCGAAATCCAGATCTTCTGAAATCTTCTTATCGGTTTGACACATAATCCAGTCCACCACAATTAGGAATATTATTGTGGGTGATAATAAGCAGCCATCTTGTCCTACTCCTTTACTCACATTGAACGCCTCACTGAGTTTTCCGTTTTAAATCATTTGACATGTGGCATTGTCATATAGTGAGCTGTTGGATAAGGTTGATGACGGTTCTGGCACTGCACAAAATGGTGTTGAAGTAGTTTTCAAATTACCTCTCGGTCAACGCTGTCTGTCGAAGGCCTTTTCGAAGTCGATGAAGTAGAAGTAGAGAGGGATTTGACTGCAATTCTATGCTTTGTGCTGAGATGACAATGAATAGAGTTGCAATCTGATCAGCGACAAATTAATGACAGTTAAAACAATCCTGGCCAAGATAGTGACAGAAATAATGACAATAATAATGTACCATTGATGGAAGCAGGGAAGTTTATATTCGATGAACTCATTAGATAAAATATCCACTGATGTTATTAACATTCTTGTATCTACTTTGAAGGAGCTGCTTTTGATATGCATAGTGAATATTGGATTTTTTTGTTTATTTAATGAGGAATTCTACAGACAAATTGATAACGTGACTATGGAGTTATCACTGGGTGTAATTCCAGCTGACATTTTCCTCACAGTGTAACAACAGAAGACAAGGGCCAGGCAACAGATGAGTTGTATTACGAAAACCAACAGGTATTTATATGTATTTTACGTACATTAATAGGCTTCTGCCCGCAGAAAGAAGGCGGTCTTCTGATTGGTTGTTTGCAAACAAACGCAGTCTTCTGCTTTCTCGTTTTCGATATTTCTCGGAAATGCGAGCCACTTGTCTGCGAATCATATTTGTCCACGTCTAGGTCAGCTGTGATCGGTTGTTGAATCAGCCTAGATTAATTTCTACCAATCAGCGTAGATCAATGTCTACCAATCGGCTAGCAGCTTGCTCTCACCACAACAGAATTAGATCATAGAAAAATGTAATTGATGAAGTAGATGGCTACTGGCCTTACATGGATTATGCATCTTTGATTGTGGAAAATGGGAATGAAGCAAAGAATACCCTTGACAAATTGAATGGTGTACATCATGCAATAAATTTTACCATTGAGAATAAGAGAAATGTTGCTGTTTTATCCTTAGACGTCCTTACGACTGGAAAAGAGGACGATACAATAAAAAGGAGCATATCTATAGGAAACTTACATAGATGGTCAGTATACTCATTTTTAAAATACAGACGCAATTTAATGAATCCATGAAAATTATACCATTTAAACCGCTTACACTTTCTGCTTGAATCTACAATTCAACGAAGATTCATCAACAGAAATACTGTTCTGCTCACTGAAGAAAAGCTTCTTCATGGCTGAACTTCAAATAACTTTCTCTACGAAACCAATGATTCACATAAAAGTGAAGGTTAAGTTATCACTGTTAACCTCATCAGTGAACACCTATCAATTCACCTGTTCGTGTGGAGCTAGGTATGTTGGCTGTACCCAGCGTTTGCTATCCAAACGTACGTATCATTGAACACTTACCCACAGTCATGGTTTTATAAAAGAGATAAAAGATCCTCATCCCCACCACAGCTGTATCCTCGAACACCTGGTCGAATCTGGACACCAAGCAAAATCAGAAAGGAACTTCAAAGCCATCTACAGAATACGTGTGGATCTTGCTAAAATAGTACGAACCAAACTTCTTAAAAGCTCAGAAGAAATAGCAATAGCGATTCACATGTTAAATCCTGAATTCTGCATACAAAAGAAGAAGTTTGTTCAGTCATTAAATCCAAAATTGACCCGATCTATCTTAACACCAAATGCGTAAATTTTGTTTCTTAGTTGTATTATTCTCTTCCCTAAAACCCCCTCTGCCTATTAA